AGTACACCCAACCTACGACACCATTTTGTTATCAAGAAACATCGACGATTGTTACACAAATTTTGAATTAACGAAGTACACTTCAATGCAACCAGAGTGGATTCCCAGGTCACCGAAATCAAACCTGCGCCGTGAGTAGGGTACTTCGTGAATGTGCCATAAAAGGAAACCACGAGTCTTCAGAGCCTTTAATATGTTCTCATTTATTGCATTGTACATTTCCTCTTCATTGTCATTTCCTATTGCAAATATGTGAAACTCGAATGCTAGTTGTTTCACGTTTTCTAGAGACCCGGTTTGCAACATCTGTGGGATTGTGGCGTATTCCGATTTCTCGATGTCCAACTTCAAATAGTCAATGATTCTCTGTGTAATGAAATGTATTAGAATGGTTTCATAATTAGATCTAGTTGACTTTCTTCTGTCTAAGTATGTGTGTTTTCAAACACTAACTTACCCGATTAACACTTTCTGTACAATAGTTTTCCCGCCAAAAATGTTGTGCAACATTTTACATTTTTAAGTATTTGTCTATAATACTTTTGAATTAAATAAACATGATTTCCTATTGTCTATAGGTCTCAATCACATTTCTGAAAAATAAATATACTTAAAATTTGAGTTCTATTCGTCAAGGTAACAAAATCTGACTCGAAGAATTATATTCAGTGTTTTCCGGAGTATTTTGGACTGGATAGTGGTATATTTGCATAACAATATAACCCAATTTATTATAATGGTCTTCATTAGAATAAGAATAACTTCCATTGTTTTCTTGAAAACGGTGAACCGTGCTTAAAGATGCGTAATGTTGGTGTTTCAGATATAATATGTTTAAATGAGTTTTGCATAATTATCCTGATATGTATGCCTACTTGAAATGTCACCAAAAATTCCGTTGAACAAAACTGTACACAAATACACAACACATGTATGATTGGTCGTTCGATGATCTACTTAATGAATGAATGTAGTCATGAGCGAATAAATGAACCAATCTCTTACATTGGTGTGACCGTTTTCTTTTAATATCTCGTCAAAGGATCGCATTTTCCAATGCTGTTGCTGGCCTTTAAGGGTTCGGATGACGTCATCCGAGTTGTATGCATCGAGGCCAGTATTGTAGAACCATACTTGTTCAGAGTGCTTGTGATCAGGTAGACCAATCCTGAAAAAAACAATTTCAAATAACGTGGGTATCAATGGTATCGTGGGTATGTAACCCGGTAACTGTTAGGAATTCATGACACCTTTATGAGGCAGTGTGAATGTTGACTTATGTATAAATATTTTTGTCGTGTTAGGAACAATAAAGTATGCTATATTATGAAATACAATGTATAATAAAACATGTTTATGACAATTTCAATGAAAGAATGTAAAACGCAAATGCGCATGCGGCTGGTGTACCTGTATATGAACTGTTCATTCGAAACGCGCAAGCATAAGCATTTTCATTTTCATACTTTCGTTTTTTAATGTTGACACAAATATTGGGGAAACGCTGCCTTTGATTTTTCGTGTTCCGATTAATCACTTCTTTGTAAGTTTACATTGAAAACGTGTATTTTCTCAGTATTTTTATTTGTGTAGTGTGTTATGATTTATCATCACTAAATAGTTGTCGTGATCCCAAAAGTGGTCTATGTTGTGATCGGCTGCAAAATCGCCTAATGCATTAATAAACTACGCATGCGCATATCCGCTGTTCGTTTATAGTATGCTATTTATAAAAAAAATACATGCAGACGAGCGTGGTTCGTCATTTTATGGAACGAATACTAACGTCAAGGAAAACAATATACCTTGCGATAAATCACAATTCCAAGTATTTATCAGTATTTAACATGCAGTTAACACATACATGTATTTTGATTGGGCAAGGTGCTGAGTACTGGATTTCGTTTTCTGAATCGCTGTTCTATGTGCAATGTTTCGATGTA